TTACGATATTTCTGGCAGCTATTTTCTATTGAATGTTTGTATAATGAAATAGACAAACAATTAACTGAAAACCTTAGTTGACGATCTTTCTGGCAGCTATTTTCTATTGAATGTTTGTATAATGAAATAGACAAACAAGGAACTGAAAACCTTAGTTTACGATATTTCTGGCAGCTATTTTCTGTTGAATGTTTGTACAATGAAATGGACACACGATGAACAGAGAACTTTAGTTGACGATCTTTCTGGCATATATTTTCTATTGAATGCTTGTATAATGAAATGGACAAACAATGAACAGAGAACTTTAATTGACGATCTTTCTGGCAGCTCTTTTATATTGAATGTTTGTATTAGACGAACAGTGAACAGACAAACCTTAATTGACCTTAATAAGAGTAAACTATATAACTAATTTTTCAAAAAGTTAGATTAACACCGTTACCTAAAAATGAAAGTTAAAACCGTATGTTAAAAATGGTTTCTTGCTTTTCCAGTGAGGAAGGTTTATAGTTTACTCATAGTTATACCAAGTTCCTGAAGCCATCAGATTGGAGGGAGAACCTATACGTGTACTTATTTAAATAAGAAAACATTTATTTGATCAGTTACTTACAACAGCTTAAAATGATATAATAATAAGCAAAAGAACATTAAAATATTATTATTAATATTAATCTGTTGTCTTAGTCAAATAGTAAACAATAATATCATTGTAGACACACAGTAATGTTAGTATGCGTGAAATACGTTCGAATAACAGATTGCTCTGCTTTCTGTAATGGTGTTACGCTAAAATATACTTTTTTTAATGATGCAATTTCTGAAGAAAACGGACGTATAGACAATCTGTCTGTAAGCAATATTCCTGATCCGTGACGTATTTCTTCCAGTCATCTGATATCAGCAGATTTCGTTGTGCTGGGTGCACTGAGGTTCATATTTTGTACTTTATAATGCGGTTTATTTCAATTAATCTCGATTAATTAGGATGCACGTGAATGTCACCATCGTCTTGAAGGCATTTTTTAAAAACCCGAAAGAAAATTGAGTATTCACTGCACAAATTGCGTCAGATAAGGTTCAACGAAGATAAGTCACGTTTTATAATTCGAGAATTCGAGAAAATGTCACGTATAAATATATTTGGGAGACAATTACAAGAACATAATTCCTGGTATGTCAAAGACCAGATACACTTTTCATCAAAAACTTTGAAAGCTAAACTTTTTTTTTCTTCAGTTTTGCAAATTATTTGATTTTTTCCACCTTAACGGAACCTTATGCTACACAGGGGTTAAACGGGATGGTTAAAGACAATTAATTGCTAGTGACCAGAAGGGGGACGAACCTTATGCTACACAGGGGTTAAACGGAATGGTTAGAGACACTTAATTAATTGCTAGTGACCAGAAGGGGGACATACCTTATGCTACACAGGGGTTAAACGGGATGGTTAGAGACACTAATTAATTGCTAGTGACCAGAAGGGGGACGAACCTTATGCCACACAGGGATTAAACGGGATGGTTAGAGACACTTAATTGATTGCTAGAGACCAGAAGGGGGACAACTAGTCAGCATCACTCGCTGCCTGTACGAACACTCTTAACCGAATTGTGTACTTGAGTGCCACTTTTATAACAACCCACATCTGAGAGTGTATTCAGCAGCATATCACGAACTCAAACCTTGGACCTACTGATACTGAGTTTTGTAGTTATCTACATAATAACGTAATACTAAATTTTTAGTTGTCTACATAATGACGTATTTGAGTTTTTAGTTGTCTACATATTGACGTAATACTGCGTTTTTTAGTTGTCTACATAATGACGTAATACTGAGTTTATTACTTGCCTACATATTGAGGTAATATTGAGTTTTAGCTGTTTACATAATGACGTAGTACTCAGTTTTATAGTTGTCTACGTAATAATGTAATACTGAGTTTTGTAGTTGTCTACGTAATAATGTAATACTGAGTTTTATAGTTGTCTATGTAATAACGTAATACCGAGTTTTGTAGTTGCCTACGTAATAATGTAATACTGAGTTTTACAATAAGAAAAAATAAAATTGCAGTGTCTAATATTAACCGTAAAAGATACATCAAAAGACGTTTTTGACAGAGAATATCTATTTTTACAAGAGTAGTAGCATACTTCAGCCATTTCTGAAACGATTATACTTTCCTGTAATATTCTGTAAAGAGTTCTTTACAGCTCGTAGGTTACACGTTACATTAAGCAGTTGAGAAGGACACGTCTGGTGCCCTTTTTCAATCTTGTTAAAATATAACGACTTACTGAAATCTTTTTATCTTTTCTGGTGATCCGTTTTGATGTTGCTTATTCCAAGTTATTGGATATATGTAGGTATGATAGAGTGGCTTATGATGCAAACAATTTTGATTCAATACACATATATACATAATCGTATTCTATGGTAAAAAGATATACAGTTGAAGCCATATACTTCAAAAGTATTAGATTATATTGAAAGAACTCAAGATGTACACGTCACCTTTCAAGAGTTTTTCATCCTTCTTGTTTTTGTGTTTCTAGTTTCAAACTTGTCTGTTAAATATGTAAAAAAGTTTTGTATTTATAGTTTTAAACATGATTGTTAAATATCCAAAGGAATTTTGTATTTATATTTTGAAGTTTGCTTGTTGAATGTCTAAGATATTTTTGTTGTGTTTAAAATGTTCGCGCAAACCTACACAAGTGCCATTTGTGCATAGTCGCCCCTACTTTTGAACTGATATATTAGAGGTATGGCAGCTATTCAATAGCATCCACCGCCAACTCTTGGACTACTCGATCGTATCTGAACGAATAGTGAGATTTGACCAGCACCCGCAGTCCCAAAGCACAGATCGAGTTTCTGTGGAGACGGGACACGAACCACGAATCGAATCCTCAGGTTCACAATTCGATCACGTTAACCATTATATCACACCCGGCTCAAGACTTTTTGTGTTTCTAGTTTAACCTTGCTTGTTAGATGTCAAAAAAGTTGTGTGTTTATATAGTTTCACCCTTGCTTGTTAGATGTAAAAAAAAAGTTGTGTGTTTTTATAATTTAACCCTTGCTTGTTAGATGTCAAAAAATTTGTGTTTTTATAGTTTAACCCTTGCTTGTTAGATGTCAAAAAAGTTGTGTGTTTTTATAGTTTCACCCTTGCTTGTTAGATGTCAAAAAAATTGTGTGTTTTTATAGTTTCACCCTTGCTTGTTAGATGTCAAAAAGGTTGCGTGTTTTATAGTTTAACCCTTGCTTGTTACATGTCAAAAAAGTTGTGTGTTTTATAGTTTAACCCTTGCTTGTTAGATGTCAAAAAATTTGTGTTTTTATAGTTTCACCCTTGCTTGTTAGATGACAAAAAGGTTGTGTGTTTTATAGTTTAACCCTTGCTTGTTATATGTCAAAAAAGTTGTGTGTTTTATAGTTTAACCCTTGCTTGTTACATGTCAAAATTTGTGTTTTTATAGTTTAACCCTTGCTTGTTAGATGTCAAAAAAGTTGTGTGTTTTTATAGTTTCACCCTTGCTTGTTAGATGTCAAAAAGGTTGTGTGTTTTATAGTTTAACCCTTGCTTGTTACATATCAAAAAAGTTGTGTGTTTTATAGATTAACCCTTGCTTGTTACATGTGTAAATCCCCATCGTATTTTCTTTTAACCAAAATGTAACCTGTATACCTCCATCATTTATAAGTCTCCTATTGAAGAAGGCCTTCCACAACGACGAGGCGTCATTATAGAAGCCGAAACGTCATCCAACACTACAAACAAGCAGGAACTCCACTGTTATATTTTTCAGGAAAAAATACATTGATCAAAAATATTCATCATCACTCACCATTTAAGGAGATTAAAATGTCACATAAATAATTAATAAATTGAAACATTTGTGTTACAAAGTCATAAACGAAGATGGAAAAATCCAATAGTTTTAGTTTCATTATATAGTGTATGTTGTTATTAAAACGTTTCTGAAATTATGATAAACCCTTTCAACATATTTCAATAAGTCGATATTTTCTTGATATCGACTGGCTGTAGAGTAAAATTTTTGAAACAATTATATTCTAGCGTTCGCCATCAGCTGCTATCGATGTGTATCGAATACTGACATGCATTGTTCTGAAGAATTCAACCAGAAGTACTCCCAGCTACAGCCCCAATCGTGTGACGATATATTTGAGTCTCAATATTGCATTAAGACCACAGGAATATATGAAGGTAAGGGACAATATCATATTCTATAAAGTGCTTTGTTCGTAAATAAGTAGGGGAAAAATTTATATATTTTTTCTGAATTGTATAAATACACTATACAACTAAAGAGTTGAGAAAAACTTTTTTTGTATAATTTTGTTTTGTACTGTAGTTTACTTCTGCCATAAGATACTCAACTGAATGTTTGTTTGTTTTGTACTGTAGTTTACTTCTGCCATGATATACTCAACTGAATGTTTGTTTGTTTTGTACTATACTTTACTTCTGCCATAAGATACTCAACTAAATGTTTTTTTTTGTACTGTTGTTTACTTCTGCCATAAGATACTCAATCGAATGTTTTTATGTTGTTTTGTACTGTAGTTTACTTCTGCCATAAGATACTCAATTGAATGTTTTTATGTTGTTTTGTACTGTAGTTTACTTCTGCCATAAGATACTCAATTGAATGTTTTGTTTTGTTTTGGTATGGTAAGTTTACTTCTGCCATAAGATACTCAATTGAATGTTTTTATGTTGTTTTGGTATGGTAGTTTACTTCTGCCATAAGATACTCAACTGAATGTTTTGTTTTTATTTGGTATGGTAAGTTTACTTCTACCATAAGATACTCAACTGAATGTTTTGTTTTTGTTTTGGTATGGTAAGTTTACTTCTGCCATAAGATACTCAACTGAATGTTTTGTTTTTGTTTTGGTATGGTAAGTTTACTTCTGCCATAAGATACTCAACTGAATGTTTTGTTTTTGTTTTGGTATGGTAAGTTTACTTCTGCCATAAGATACTCAACTGAATGTTTTGTTTTGTTTTGGTATGGTAAGTTTACTTCTGCCATAAGATACTCGAATGAAGCATTCCTTCCATGCTTCTAATCATGTGTTATTGCTGGAAAGTTTGTAACTTAGGGTTATCTTTTTTTACATTTGTTTGAGTTATGTTCACATTCTCTGTCAGTCAACATTTGGCCACTAGCAGATTGTTCAATAAAGTCAATGGCTGCGTTTGCGGTATGAAGGATCCATTTTACTAAACAGTTTTACTGATATTGGAACTATGCCCCTGTCAGGGTGCTTGCTGGCAAAATCAGCACTGTAATGTCCTTTTTTTTTACCATACAGCAAATATAGCGCAGCGCACTTTACAGGTGTACGATCAGACATTTTTAACACTTGCCTTTCTAATGTGAGTATGGTGGAAGTGTAGGCATCACAGAGTGACTCTGTAATAGATTTTTCTTTCTCTGCGCATCCTCTTCCTCGCAAAAATCCGATAGTGTTACTCACATTACGAACCTTCCTGTTTAAGTGATTATTTATTTTATTAGAACATAAAATTAAATTGAGTAATTCTTTGTAACGTTAACACAAAAAATTGTCACGCAGGATCTTCTAAGAAACAACGGCACTTCTAGAGGGTCACTAATACCTTAGTCCGTTAGTGTTTTGAGACCTTTCTTCCCGGCCCTGGTTTATGTAAGCCTAAAAACCTATTTATGATATATACGTTTAATTTAAAAGATAAATTATTATTGTTAATGTGTACTTAAAATTTTGCATATTTAATAGATATTTATGTATAAATTATTAATACATTAATTTATTACTAGCCGCAACCCGCAAAACATTTGCGGTAGTTTCATGCCCTTCGCTTGAATTTTCCTTATTCTATCATTCTCACACACGGCATTTAAGCTACGCTTTTTTTTTGCAGGCATTATGTGTTAGATCGATAAAACTTGGTCTATTTGAAAAGCCCCAAGTGGCACATCAGTATGTCTGCGGAGTTACAACGCTAGAATCCGGGTTTCTATACCCGTGGTGGGCAGAGCACAGATAACCCATTGTGTGGCTTTGTGCTTAGTTACAAACAATTTGAAAAAAAAAATACGCGGTCAGACAAACAAACTCGCGTAGACGTAAATTTATTTAATAAAACTACACGTACTTAACTGTATTTAATAATACTACATGTAGACGTAACTTTATTTAATAAATCTACACGTAAAGTAAACAATAAAGTGTAGTAATGGTATTTATAATAGTGTAGAGAGTATGAAACAGTTATGAGCGTTCAATGTATGACACAGTTTTATGAGTTGAAACAAAGACACTAAAAGAAAAAACGAAAAAAAAACCCGTACTAAAAAACAACAAAAAAAAACAAGTAGCTAACAGGTGTTTATAGCAGTCTATAAAACGAACCGAAGCTAAATTACTGCTAAGTAAGTTTGTAATGAAGGCAAACGTAGCTGAATATGCAGAAACGTTTGAATGCGTGTTTACTAAGTGATAAGCATATGATTTTGTATGAACTGCGCATGTGTCTTTTAGACCTAAATTAGTCGAGAAAACCCATAGCAATTGTATTCAATGTAATGTTAATTTTTGAAATAATTTGCAACTGAAAAAACTAAAGTTAAAATGGAAAACAGCCGTCACGATATGAGATTTGTAGCGTTTGATCAAGAAATATGCGAAAGTTCCGGACAGACAAACGCAAGCGTATTATTTATAGATTGATAATAATTATTTTAGTTAACTTTAGTAAATATTAATTGCCTTGTATCTTTAACGTTTAAATAATTTGATTCAGTGCTAACTTTGTCAGCTGTAAAACTTAAGTGAGTTTCGAGATCTTAATTCGCCCCCCCCCCTTTCCGGTGGGTTATCAGTAAGTCTGAAGCATTATAACGTTTCATACCTGCGGTTGTGCAGCTTTGTGCTTAAAGAAAAACAAATAAATCTTCATTTAGCACAATCACTGAATAGTTTTTTTAATACAAAGAGTTAATCGTCAATGAGTGACTTGTATATGCTAAAACTGTGGTGAATCGCACTAAATCCATGGATGAAATGCTTAATACTTATACATTCCCGACATCTTTATGACTGGAGGAGTATGTTAAAGGTTTCCCGAGTAAGAATATTTACTCAACGTTGAAGAGCACTGGACATAGCGTTTCGAAGAAGGAAGTCTTCAATATTCTCAATATAAGCTCAGGATAAACGGGTGCGTATCTCGTCATAGTAGTCGATACGATACATATCTAGATACAGAAGTTTTACCAACGGTTTGTTACAAAGTTTGACAGCCTTGTCTATAATTTATTATCTATATTACTAACATTGTCTTATTTAAGTACTTCACACTTTACAATGTTTTTCAAATTTTCAGGTTTGATCAGTTAAATTGCAGAGAAGTAAAATAAAAAAGGGTTAATATCTGTCTATATATTTTGTTATTGTTAGTTTGTTATGTTATTTTGCATGTAATGTGTTTGATCAGAGATATGAAGACAACATGTAGTACTCAATACTTATCTTCCTTTATTGAATCATTAATTTTTAGCAAAAACACTTTATTAGAAATTCTGATTTTTTTATGCACAAAAGACTTATAATTTTTACTGAAAGATTGCCAGATTTCGTGAAGATACATAAATATTATCGGACGATGTATCGATACGGCTTCATAATACGATACTCGTATCGTATCGCTGGATCGCCACACCTTTAATATACACTGTATTTGGTATTTTCAATATGAACATTTCCTTGGCATGTTGACTAATTTGTTGGGTCAGAAACCTCTGATTCAAGCATAGTCATCATTAATTTTGAACTGCTGATCAGGGGGAAGGCAACAGATAAGTAGCACCCGTCAACAAAAATATGGCTACCCTTAGCCAAAACAATGTTATAATGGCCCATATCCCAAATCGAACCTTCGACTTTTCGATTAGCTGTCTGGTACGCTAACCACTAGGCCATGACAAACCGAGGTGTATGTAGGTAAACGTTTTTAATTAGCTTTAATGAACAGCTATTGTTAGCATCCGGTTTTCGTATTTCACACATCTGGCTTCGCCATCCAAGATACTTAGCAAAACTACTGGTAATTAATACGCAACGTTCATTCGTAGGTGAGAATTAATTCAAAAATGTAAGTATTTTATAGCCTACCGTATTGTCATGTTTCATGCTTTTGGTTTTGTGGACGAATATCCAACTTAGATGAAACGAGTCGTTAATTATTACATCTTGACATGCTCAGTAAATAACTAAATAAGATATACAGTGTGTACCTATACAATATTACAGTGTGTATCTGTACAAGATGTATGTAAGGTGTGCTATGTTTGCAATTATTACCTATGTAATAGATTATAGTTCCAATGAACTTGAGTAGAAATGTTGTTATATGTATTCTATTTGATAATTTTCGGTTTTTGGCCTTGTTAATGGATAAATATATAGAACGTTATTCATATAGATCATATTTACACAACTTACACGTTTTGTTGTTTGTTGCGCAAAACTACACAATGGGCTACTTGCGCTCTGCCCACTGCGAGGAATCGAACCCTAGATGTTAGCGTTGTAAGTTCGGAGACTGCTGCCACCCACTCTCCCGACAGATGGCTTTTTAATTGCTCAACTGATATAATGTGTGTGTGTGTGTGTTTATATATATATATATATATATATATCTGTCTTGTTAATTTTTCCATTATCACTCCTTTTTCTTTGGTAGGTTCACGAAATTACTGATGTAGTTACAGTAAGACAAAACTTTAGCCAAAATTTGTTTTAATATCCATGTATTCATGTTGTATTAATACAATAGTATCTAGTTGTTTTTGTTTTGCTAACAGACCTTACTCACGTTTTCAGTTAGTTTTAAAAACTATCGTCTACTTTTTTTTCACGTTTTGACTAAATAACAGTAATTTCAGTAACTTATTGGAATTTTTATTTTAATCATTTGGGCCTTTTTTTCTGCATTTATTTTATCCTTTACTACACTGTATTTTAGGTGAAATAGGCACCAAGCGCTTCTGTTCCTCTCGTCACCATGGCAATTATTGTGAATATATTCGTCGGCCTGGCGACGATCGCGAATACCGTTCCTGCGTGTACACGTGCTCAGTAGATGGCTGCAACGACGCCCCATCGTGGAAGAAATGGAGCCTAATTAGCATATTATCATCCGCATTTATTATGATTGTAACCCACGTATTATTCACCTGGTGTTAAACGATATGAATTTCATGATTTGAAAACAAGGACTTCAAGCAACTACTCTTGGAATGCTTTATTGAAAACGATGATATTTGTACAGATACTGATGGTTTAAGACGTGTATTCCAAAGCTATGTCAGAAAAATGCTATTTTCCCGAATTACGTTTTCAATTTAAGTGCAATGTGGAGTTCAGGTTTCTGTTTTGTTATCTTTATACTTATATTTACCATCTTTTCTTTTTTGTTCTTATATTTCTGTTGTTATTTTCCATATTTTCGACTTGTACATTTAACATATTTTTCATTTACAGGGTAATGTTTAGGTTTCTGTTTTCACCCTATTTTCTACTTACAGTGAAACGTTTAGGTTTCTGTTTTCACCATATTTTCTACTTGCTGTGAGTGTTTAGGTTTCAGCTACATAATGGGCTATCTACATATTGTTCATCGTGGGGAATCGAACCACGGTTTTGAAGTATAAACATGCGGTAACATGTAGGTGATAAGTGGTCCCTATCATAACATGTAGATGATAAGTGGTCCCTATCATAACATGTAGATGATAAGTGGTCCCTATCATAACATGTAGATGATAAGTGGTCCCTAGCATAACATGTAGATAGATGATAAGTGGTCCCTAACATAACATGTAGATAGATGATAAGTGGTCCCTAACATAACAAGTAGACAAGTGATCCCTAGCATAACATGTAGATGATAAGTGGTCTCTAGCATAACATGTAGATGATAAGTGGTCCCTAACATAACAAGTAGACAAGTGATCCCTAGCATAACATGTGGATGACGAGTGGTCCCTAGCATAACATGTAGATGACGAGTGATCCCTAGCATAACATGTAGATGATGAGTGGTCCCTAGCATAACATGTATATAGATGATAAGTGGTCCCTAACATAACATGTAGATTATAAGTGGTCCCTAACATAACATGTAGATAGATGATAAGTGGTCCCTAACATAACAAGTAGACAAGTGATCCCTAGCATAACATGTAGATGATGAGTGGTCCCTAGCATAACATGTATATAGATGATAAGTGGTCCCTAACATAACATGTAGATGATAAGTGGTCCCTAACATAACAGTAGATAGATGATAAGTGGTCCCTAACATAACATGATGTATTAACGTATAGCCTATTAGAGGTCGAGTACTACTATATTTACAGGTTTGGGCTATACCAATGGTTCTCAACCTGGAGTCCTCGGACCCCTGGGGGTTCATGAGCTATTTCCTTTAATCAAATAATGCACGGAAGGACACAAAATAATAACACGTAAAAACTGAGACTGTTCTATACCTGTCATAATTTTTCTGGCTCTCTAAGAATGTTAGGTAGACGGAATCTTTCAAAAACATGGAGTCCATGGGGAAAAAATAATAAAGGGGTCCTTGGTGGTAAAAACGTTAGGAACCACTGGGCTATATCATTATTCCTTCTGGACTTAAGTACATTAATAAAACTAAGAAATGTCTACGTAACCCACCAATGTGAAATCCTTACTCATTTTAATGTATGTATCCGTCTACTTCCTCTTTCACTGTATGCCTGTTTTATACCTATCACTGTAAAGTCCTGCACTTTCGCTTTTATTGTATTTCAGTTACCTACCTATCATTGTGAAGCCCTTCACTTTCTCTTCTATTGTATATCAGTTCCTACCTATCATTGTGAAGCCCTTTACCTCTTCTTCCATTGTATATCAGTTCCTACCTATCATTGTGAGGCCCTTTACTTCCTCTTTTAGTCTTTGTCAGTTTCCTGCCTATCATTGTGAAGTCCTTTACCTCCTCTTCCATTGTATATCAGTTCCTACCTATCGTTGTGAAGTCCTTTACTTCCTCTTTTAGTCTTTGTTAGTTTCCTATCTATCATTAAGAAACCCTTTACTTCCTCTTCCATTGTATATCAGTTTCCTATCTATCTTTGTGAAGCCCTTTACTTCCGCTTCCATTGTATATCAGTTTCCTGCCTATCATTGTGAATCTTACCTCTGTTTTCTAGCGTATGTCTGTTTTCTAAATTTTGAGATCAGCGTATTGTAATCATTTGAAACAGTATTTGATTTCTTCCCTGCTGTAAAATGTTTGGAAAACTCTTTACGTTAATCATCGTTCTCCGTGTATTTGTATTATATCACTTTTTTGAAGTTTAGAACTTTCTTTTATTTCAATACAAAATAATAGTGAGTTATCACTGCTAAAAACCTTAAATATTATGTCATTACGATACTGTACTGAACTTAATATTTACATAACTTATGAAATAAATGTTCTGCTGCTGATGGACGATAATATAAATATTCCAGTTTATGAATCTCCATATTTGTTGTTCTTTCCGGTCTTTCGGAACTACACAAAATTAATGATAATGAATTTCTAACAAAACGGTTGTTGATAGATTTATTAAATATGTCACTAAATATATAGTAAATGTATGGTTTGAGGTAATTGTTTGATAGATTTTACAATTTTATTTTAATATAATGATGCATATTAATAAAATATTATTAAAACGTCTTTAAAAGGAATGAGTCCTTTGCTCAAACATCATGACGAATATTAATCGTGTTAGTTAAAGGTAGGGAATTGTGTTTATTTCGAAATCTGTAACTTACGGCTTTCGTGTCAAGTTTACAGACGATAAAATTACGGAAATCAAAAAATCAATCGCCTAGAAATCTTTACGTGATATCATCAAAAATCAAACGTAAGAGAAAATCCATAAACTTACATAATTCAGAAAAGATTTGCCCCCCAGTGGCACAGCGGTATGTCTGCGGATTTAGAACGCTAGAACCCGGGTTTCGATACCCGTGGTGAGAAGAGCACAGATAGCTCAGTGTGTAGCTTTGTGCTTAACTACAAACAAACAGAAAATATT